TAAATTCATCAGCTGACTGTGACTTGACAAGCCAGTCCTAGATCCCAAATGCACTGCGAGAGCAGAATAGAATGGTGATCTTTGAACATGTTGAACTCACTTTGCTTCCGAGTATGTTGACTAGCTGTCCAGGTTGGGATTGCCAGCTGTAGGGCCAGCTAGGCTGGGAATCCACAGGAATGGTTCCTGACCGAGTGCCAGCAAAATGTACTTTGGTTTCATCCACTTTTCTCTGAGGCTGCTCGATGCACTAGGCACTTTTCTGACAAATCATGTGGTTGCCACACTTGCAGCAGCCTGGAACTTCGGATTTATCTGCGACAGCTTCTGGATTGAGCGGTAAAGCCCAATATAAATGGGAAACTGCAGCAGAGAAGGAATGCACCTGGCATACCCAGCCAAAATGTAATTTGTTGTGCCGTGTGTTTCGTGCATTTGGATCTCGAATGCTGTGGCTCTGGGCGCACCCTCCCAAAGGATTCACACCACAGTCATCGTACAGTCGCAGCATCATCCGATTTTGGGTCTCCTGAAAAACACTTGTCACCTAACACAAGTGTCTGCAAGCTGCACGAGTGTCTGGACTGTGTCCTGGTCATTTTTGTATTTTCGCTGAATCTGATCAACTTTAGGCTTAATGAGCTGCATGATTGCACCAGATCCTCCCGAGAAAGAAACTGCCAAAGTCCACTGAATTTGACAAGCCTGAGGCTCTCACGAAGAGCTGATTGATTCAAAGGATAGGTCAGCACCTGTGACTCGCCGCTAGCAAGCAATTCGCAACAAGCACCACTCACTGGCATCCCATCCAACATACAGCATCAGTGACCTTGATCAGGAGGGTGTAGCCAATAATGGCAAATCCTCAGAGGATGGCAGCAAGTGGAACATGCCGATCAACCACCAATGACAAAACATTTGGCAGCCCCTCAAAACCCTGCTCCTTCATGGACACTGGGCCCCATGGTTTGCGTGCCAAATGGTGCTGTGCGGAACCCCTACTCATGAGGTGGAGCCTTCATCGTATTTTAGAAAACCCACTAAGAACCGTCTGGGCAGCCTTCCTGGAACCATATCCCAAAGAACCTTATATAAGTCGGGAAGTAATGGTGACAGGAATAGTGACATGAACTAGGTAACTAGAACTTGAAGCCAAAACCAGAGCCGTTCTGAAACCATCCCGTGGACCCGAGCAAGGAACAGTCTTGACACAGTATAGGGAAACAAAAGGATGTAGAGCACAGGGAACTTTCGGAAACCTCATTAGAGAACCCCATTGGAACTCGGAGCCTCGGCATCAAATTTCTTGGGAAAATGGTCTTTGCTGCAACCTGCTCTGCACCTGAAGAATTTCACACGCTGGGCTTGATGCCAAAGCTGTTTGGGATGTGCAACTGATCCTCAATGACCTCAGCGGTCCATCAGCCCATCGGCCATGCAGCCATAGCTTTCATGATATTGTTTCGGCATCAAATGCACTTGGAGCATGGCACCATCTATTCCTGCAATGATTCCAGCATTGAATTGGATCAGTGGCTCAAACCTGGCGATCATGCCGACGTTCTGATACTTTAAAGAGTGTCAAAAAATTGACGAACTCGTTTCCAGACCAGTCTCCGCTGCTCTGTGCAACCTCGCCGACCACCTGCGCCAAGACAGTCGCATAAGACTTCCAAAGACTCTTGGTCCGTCAACCACTCTTGTAAACATTTGAGACGAAAATGGAAACCTTGCTCTCACAGGTCCCACATGTAATCCCACTAGTCTCTCTCTCTCTCTCTGCTTGATGCTGTCAAATTTGTCGTCTGGCAAATCAGTCCTCCTCAGCATCGTCAGCAACATCAGCTGCTGCTTCTGCTACAGCACCGACAACCTTGCGCTGTGTGTATCGCGTGTGTGTGTGGCGGTTGCGCACGATTTGCCTAGCCTCTTGTGCCATGGCAGGATCTGATGCAAATGCCTCGGGCACGGTCAGGAATGAATGGTTGCTCGGTTGCCGGTTGCACAATGCTTCACCTGAGATCACTGGTCTTTATGAAAACTAACTTAATCTATCTTCGAGGTCTTTGAAAGGAGCAACGCAGCACATGTGCGAGGATCAACTGATGAAATTCTGCCGTCAATCTGAGCGCAAATCTGCCAGCGTTGCCAAAGCACCTGCAACCTTGTCATGCCCGTAGGAGAAAGCTGCTCTTGGACAGTCTTCAAAGAATTCTAGGAAGATACTTTACAATTGGCCACAGCAATATGGACATGAGAGTCCAAAAAATCAATGCAACTCTCAGATCCCTGCCACTGGCACTGGAATGTTCGGAATTTGATGGTTCTGAGAAGAGTCCTTCCAGAGGTTTCATAATCAAACGAAATGGCAAGACTTTGGGCTCCTTCTCAGAGGTTTCTGCGGCCTTGGAAGTGCTCCAAAGCATCAATTGGCAAGTGCTCCAAATTGTTCCTCTTTTAACTTTGGTTCTTCAGTTCAGTGCTTTTGCAGATCTTTCGGTCGCACGTGGCTAAGTGCCAAGCAGCCAGCCGAACGACACTGCAACCTCATTGCGGGGATTGCATCGTGCACTCCAACAATCCGCCCCTTCTGTGTTGGTGGACGGTGCGGTTCGGACACTTTGCGGCGACCATGCCTTACGTCCAATGGACATGAAAGTATGGCTTCGCGTGAAAGCTTTCAGCCGCGTCGACTTGATGAGATTCGCTCATAACTTGACAAAATCGGGTTGCTAAATGTATTGAAAACTGCCTGAGAAGCAGAGTCAGAGCCCCTCCACCGGCAATGGCAGCGCCAACACCTCCAGCCATTTCATGAAAGTGTCTAGTCGGAACTTTCCTTGTAGACCCACGGTATAAGTTTTTTTGTTCGCCTGATCTGAAATTCTTTGATTCTCCACTCAAGTGCCTGACGGTGCAATACGCAGAACACATTTTCGGTTGTGTGTTTAAGTTTATACCTTCAAGTTTCAGTTTGCCTGGTCTGCGCGGCGGAAACTCTCAGGTTTGCAAGCTGGGTCAGATCCTGGGCGCCACTCATCAAAAGCCTTGTTCCTCCTCCTTTCCACCTGCCTTCGGCTGAGGTTGCGTGACATACCTCCCAGTAAAAAAAAAAAACAAGCGTTGTGAAACTGCCCGGAAAAATTAATGTTCCCATGTTCAAGCAGGCGACGCGGTGGAAGTGGACAAGTGTAAGAGTGCATATGCACCTTCAAGGGGCCACAGACAGACTTGAGGCTCTTTGTGATTGCACACATTGAAACAAGCTGCTCACATGATACAAACGGCACCTGCCACCGAGAGCGTCACCACCTCCCTTGAGATGCCTTACTGAGTGCTTTACAAGCGCTCCACAGCCCTTTTCAAAAGGTCTATATACCGTATACACATATATATATATACACTGTATATAATGCGTGTGTGTGAAGCCCTTGGAGTTATATGGAATCTGTTGATTTTTTGGCAGGGGGCAATCCCACATTGCAGTTGATTGCCCAACGAAAAGGGCTGCAATTGTGGCTGATATCTGGAATGGACGCTTTCCGGACGTACCTGCTTTCTTTTGAACTGTTGATCAAGCTGTGACTCTACTCTCCGGCAAAAAGTGCTACAGTAATGAGTTCTGCAGACAAGTGCTCGCCGCTCGAGTTCTCGTTGACTTCTTCGAGCTCGTGCCTTTGGAATTTGAAGACCTCAGGTTCTCGGTTAAGCCGTCTTACGTACTTATCCCCTGACTTTTTAGGCTTTCATACCTAGGTGGGCGCGTCGCATGTGGCATTCGACTTCAGTACGCATTATCTTGAGTGTGTGTGTGTGTGTCCACACCTGTTTCCGAGGGATTGCATAGCATAGTTCACCGTGGGTGGAATGCACGAAAACCGCAGGGGGGCAGTGGTCCTTTCAGCAGTCAGCTGATCGGATGTGAAATGACTCTGGGACGCCAGAGTCACGTACCTGCATTTTTACTTCCTCCGTTTCACCCATGTTAAACATTCCAGTTCTTGCGGACCCATTCACCTTACCGTGTTGCAAGTCAAGGTCTAGAGTCTAGTTTGCAGCTGGTATCGTATTCACTAAAGTGGACTACCTTCACTGAATCAGCTCTTGCGAGCATCAATCTAAGTGTGTGTAAAACTATACTATCTATATTATATATGTATTACAGTATATCTTTCAGTTGCAAGTGGCTTCGTTGCTCTAAGTCCCAACCTCTGCGCGAAGCGTGGTCCTGAGGCGGCTGGCGAACAAATTTACTTCTTGCACTGACAATTCCAAGCGAACTACCGATGTAACTTAAAAGTAAATAAATCAGGCCAGCAGTTCCATCGCAAGCGATCTGCTCCAGCGCCCTTAGCAGATTATGTTGTCGAACAGACTATTGTCCAGCACACGCCAACCTATAATACTATACAATTCCAAATGCTTCATTCAGGGATAAATATCCCAGTGGAGGCTGCACATTTCTCGAACCTGTTTCTACAATCTTGACAATATCAAGGGCAGTCTTGGCATCTGTCCGAAGGCGAGTGCAAACTTGGCAAATCAATGGATCTTGAACCCAAACGCAAGCAACCGCAGTGAGCATCGCTCGGTCGGTTGATGGTTGTTCAATCATGTTCAAGTGGATTTGAGCAAGTACCACGGAAGCCATGGAAGCTCTGTTTACCCTCGACTGTCTGTTTGAGCAGGCCTAGAGCCGACACAATTCTTCAGCGAGGGCCTCATGATCATTAACAGCCAGCAGCAGTGTGCAGGATTCCAATTGGGAGGAAAACATGTCAGCATCTACACACGGCTAGCCAGCAGTGGGAGGAACCTATCTAAAGCCCCTCAAGATTTATGGCGTGGTGAGAAGCAAGTCTCCACTATTTCACCAGAAGCAAAAACTGTTTGATCTCTCTTCATCGGGGCAAGTGGCCAAGCTTGAAAAAGTGTAAGGGTAGTAAGGCAGTCCAAGTTCAAGCTATCTTGAGGAAAGCCGACTCTGGCACAAAGCCACATCAGTGACTTTCACCAGTGGCTCGTTGCTGCAATAGGATCACCATTGCAGTGACCTTAAGAGCACAACAACACTTGCTGCCACACGGTGAGGTTTAACAAAACACAGGGGCTAGGACATTGTCGCCTCCCGCTCCACCTGTCTGTGCCTCAAATGAACAAACATGCGCACAAACTCAGTCCAGCAATTTGACATCTGTGGGCACCACCAAATCAACGCTGCAGCTGGATTCACAAATGTCTTCAACAATGTCGTTCAGCATCCTCGCAAATCGAGTTAATTACGAGTGCATTTGTGTAATTTCAAAACTGTACATATGCATGACGACGACCTGCCACTGAACACCCTGATGGCCCGCTGTTGGGCGTAAGCCTCCTTTAAAAAATATATATACATATATTACGTCACGTCTATTATCATTATTATATGTTATTGTTTATTACTTATTATATAGTATTATTATTGTTGCTATTAATATAATCATTTTTGATCTACTCATAACAATAATTAGCCCAGCTGGAGACCCCAATAGCAAGATACAAACCGGGACAAAAAGAACAATCTGGAAACAGCTGCTGTTTTCAACACATCGACCATCTCTTCCTTGGACACCATCATCACATAACCGGGACACCATCACAAAATGACCAGGGCACCATCAAAACATGACCGAGACACCGTCACAACACGATTGGGACACCATCACAACATAACCGGGACACCATCACAAGGTGACCGGGACACCATCAAAACATGACCGGGACACCGTCACAACATGAGCGAGACACCATCACAACATGACTGGGACACCGTCACAACATGACTGGGACACAATCACAACATGACCGGGACACCATCACAAGGTGACCGGGACACCAACATGACATGACATGACGGGAAAACCATCACAAAATGACCAGGACACCATCACAACATGACCGGGACACCGTCACATGACCCGGACACCATCAAAACATAACCGGCACACCGCCAAAACATGACCAGGACACCATCACAACAGGACCGGGACACCATCAAAACATGACCGGGACACCGTCACAACACGACCGGGACACCATCAAAACATGACCGGGACACCATCACAACATGAC